TGAAAATACGTTGTTCTTAAAATGCATAACCTGTCTGCCTTGTGAACTGGAGATCCCGATAAAAAATACGTTAAAGGTTGCCAGCCAGGATTTTTCGTTTCAGCAACAACCGCCTCCTAGTGGCTCAGCGGTAATTCTGAAGGTTCATAACACTTAAAAACCGGGTTTCGATACTTGTGGTAAGCATAGTGCAGATAGCCCATTGTGTAGCTTTGTACTTAAAAACGAACAACTTAAATAACATTAGAAACATAGTGACACAGTGCTGCACTTCAATATTTGACATGGCTGTAAAAATATAGTAAAATCGGATTGTACTTCAACGTTTTACATGCTAATAAAATCATAATCTGAAATAGACGTGCTTCACTCATTTGCATAACAGTAAAAACCTGTAAAACAGAAGTATGATTCTATAGTTGACTTATTCCTACACAGTGCACATGACAATAATACAGACAGTGAATAATAAATGCAATTGTATGGTTATGTTGTAAATTTTAGGAGCATTCACTGGTTAATTTAAAGTGACCATAATTTTTCAAAGCTATATTTAATACAGAATGAATTCATTTATGGCTAGTTTACTGTGGTTAGTTGTATGTGTCCAGCATTGGATTCATGCCCGAAAACTGACTTTCACGCTTACATGATAACATACTGTTATTTAAACCTCAATGAATGTTTCTGCCTCCGTATATTTACATTGGTAAGATAACACTTAACTCTCACACACTTTATCTAGAAAATAAACTTTAAAGAAAATCTCTACTTTTTTCTTTTTTCAAAACAAAATGTATTTGATGTTGAAAAAAATGCTAATATTTTGCTGTTAACAACAAATTTGATCTAAATTAAGTCTCATTCATCCTTTTTCTTTTAAAGAAGAAATACGTTAAAAAAAAGAAAAATGTTGGCGTTAGTTTTTCCAATCGCTTTTCTGGACATTAAAAGGAAGAAATCCCGCAGCTCATTTTATGATTAATGATGTAGAAGTAGATGTCGCCACTTGTACCTCATTGAAGATTAGCTGTTAAAGTGTTAAATCCGACAAAAAAAAAAAGAACAAGATCTGTACTAAAAAAGTATGAACACTCGTTATTGAGGTGAAATTTTCATCATAAATAGATAATGTTTTACGACAGAAATTCCAAAGTGTCTGAAAAGCACAACAACTTTAAAACATGTTATTTTGTCATTAGATTCTAAAAGAAACATTACGAAATGATAGTATGAAGTTATAGTTTTTGATATCACGCAATATTTCCGCTGCTCTTTTACAGAAAGCACATAATCATGTGGTCTGGTCACACGCCTTTGGTAGAGCTGATGACATTACAATCCTACTACACGTGTTCTGACAGAAGTCATGAAGTCAATCTGTGTCTCACTCGTCTCTGATGTACTCACATGTCGTTGTTACTTCTTTCATAGGATTAACGAACCCATTGTTCTACATACGAATCTGATGGAGGTAATGAGGTCACTGAGTCTCACCTGTTTCTGATAGAGGTTACGTACTCACATGACGTTGTTACTTCTTTCATAGGATTAACGAACCCATTGTTCTACATACGAATCTGATGGAGGTAATGAGGTCACTGAGTCTCACCTGTTTCTGATAGAGGTTACGTACTCACATGACGTTGTCATAATTTTCGTAGGATTCACGAATGTTCATCCTTGTTTATTAGCTGTAGTTTAATATATGTCTTCTGAAACAGTTAACGTAAATGTAAACGTGAAACTAAATTGTCAGTCGTGTAGTGTAACAGAATACAGGAAGAGCTGTGTTATCTTTATACATTCAAAATGGCTTCCAAAGATAAAGTGGTTGGTAATCAGTGTTTTCCATACAAGCCATCCAATCTTGATTTACTTTTTAAACATCGCAACTTTAAATAGTTCTTCACTCTCAAGGAAAATAGAAACGATTTAGATTTTGGTTAAAAGGAACGAGAACAACGTTTTTAATCATGGTGCAAACGACCTCTCTCCTCATTGGAATCAAGATAAAACCATAAAACCAAATCAATACCTTATATGTCTGCTACGATCTTGCTCACGTTTTCAACATTTTAGTGTGAAAACTGTGTATCCTGACAGCGCAGATAAAACAAATAGGCCAATAAACTATTTAACTTCAGGTAAAACTATTTGCTGCCTTTGAAAATGGTTACTGTACAATACAGCGACGAATGTCAGCGATAAATAGAACCTGAAGATATAACTGTAATCCCACTAATGGTTCGATTCTAAGTTACGAAATCAGTTGAGACAGCACAGAATAAAAACTGTAGTATCCATATACCCATATACATAGAGAATAAACAATTTATTAGGAAAATGTGAGTTTATTAGGTTTTTAGATTCTTCACTGGACATTTAACAATATCTGACCTTTACCCTCTTTCGTCACTCACCAGTCTTATTCACTTTTTAGAACGTTCAGTAGTGGAACGGTAAAAAGTTTTGTTTGTTCCTCAAAGAGACTATGAAGTCGTATAGTGTTTTTATATCTTTTTAACAGATACTGTGAGTTTATATATTTTGTTCTATGTTCTTAACAGAGACCATGGGGTCACATAGTTTTGCTGTATGTTCTCACAGAGAACATGGAGGTCACATATTATTACTGTATGATTTTACAGAGACCATGGGGTCACATAGTCTTGCTATATGTTCTTACAGAAAATATGGGGTCACATGATCTTGCTATATGTTCTTACAGAGGCCATGGGGCCACATAGTCTTGCTGCATGTTCTGACAGAGACAATAATGTCATTAAAATCTTGACATAGGTTCTTTGCAAAGTCCACGGTGTAATATGGAATTGTAATATCCAAAGTGGACGACATATTATGCACATAGTGGGGAGGGGGTTGAGTGATCAGGAGAGAGACACACCCTTGAATTAAGATGTAGCTGTTATGAATGTTGATCTTCTTGCCAGAGGAAATTCTGCCAGTATCACTCACTCTCACAAAAAATGTTATGGCCTTTTGAACTGAATAACGGGATTGACTGCCACTTTTATAGCGCGTTCACAGCTGAAAGCGCACATCGTTAAAAATGGCATCACTTCTGGAACCCTGGACCCTTCAAACCGCACTTGGACACGCAAGACCACGTCCAGACATTTCTAGACAGAGACCTTGACGTTATTAACCTTTTTCTTTATGTTTTTGACAAGGCCTATGTTTAAATATCTTTAATCTGTTTGCTTTAAAGAACTATGATAAAACCGTACTTTGGCATACTCTATTAAGACTTCAGTTTTGGTCTACAATCAATAGCTATAAATTTCTAACTGGTCAAATAATAGTTATTGTAGGTTTAAGAACTAACATTTTCTCGTTTTGGTTGCTAGGCTTTTCCTTATATTATCTTAACTTTTACCATAGCAACATCCCTTTGTTTCAAAAAATATTCTATATATAAAATAGGCTTTATTTTCGCTCTTGCTGTTCTGTACTGTTTGTGAGAAGTGACCTTTGAAAGAAACCAATTCTTTCTAATAACTAATGTACCTAGTGTTTTGCTAGATGTCTAATGATTCTCTATTTATTAGTGTTTTTCGTACATTATGAAAATTCTTTCTGCTGTAGACGTGCACAAGCTTCTTAAAGTTAATAGACACACACACACACAACACACTTTCTATGATACAAACTCTTTACAATACCACACAGTTTCACAAATTACAACAATTTCTGGTTGAAATCATAATTCGATCGTATTATCCATCTTTATATTTGTATTACAAATCTGTATACGACGTTATGTATAATTGCACACACAAAATATATTATTTATTACCTTATACTTTGAGAGAAACCATGAAGAAACCCATGATTAGCGACATTGAGTGTGGCAGTCTTGTTTACCAGATCGCATGATTTTATTTCTATATTTCATAAAGAATATTTCACATTATTTTAGGCTTATAGATAGATGAATAGGTACATTATATAAATAATTTTTAATTCTGGGTATATGAACAACAATGTATGAGATATAAGACAACAACAACAACAAAAACAAACAAACATGGGACATCAATCAGTATTTACCTTAAGTTTTAATAAGGTTAATGAGGAAATTTAACGAGTCCAGGTTAAATGTGTGTTACAGAAAAATAAACGAGTTCATGTTTCTCCAATATTGAAAAAATATACTCGCATTATTCTAAGAAAGACGAATCAATATATTACTTTTTCAAAAGTTAAGAGAAATCTATAAACACTTGATTGTTTAACAAATTCTAAATTATTCTTAGGAAGTCAGGAATTGGTTTTATTTTTAATTTTTTGTTTAATTTGGAAAATGAAATTAGAAACGTTCGTACTTTAACTGACAACTTGGTTTTCCAATTCAGTATTTATTTCTTATGTATAAGTTTAGACTAGTATTTTGTCTTATAATTAGTGCATACGACTCAAACATAAGCACGTTTTCTGGCGTTTGGGACGATTAGACTGAATTTTGTTTTGAACTCAAGCTACACTCAGGGGCCTTTAGCACTAAAACGTTATATTTACACTAATGAAAAAATGAAGGTAAGATACGCCATGCTGGGTCTTCGAATGTTAATGTATGGCGTGAAAATACACATACAATACTGATAACAAACGTATAACTTATATAAAGATCAGAGAAACGCATGTGCGCCTGAAACGTCGTAAAAGTAATTAACTGCGTAGAGGTTTATCATTGACATTTAACTTGTGTAGTTAGACTAAGCTGAAGAACTGGACTTATAATTCATAGGCATTCCAAGAGTGTTTTGAGGTGTTTTAAGATCGGTACTAAGCCTGATGTGAAACATAATATTTCTATCTTTTATTTTTTATCCGTTTACCTGTATAGCAATAAACCCTTCTTGAACAATTGATTGCTAGATGGCGCTGCGAGTCAAGATCATCCGAGCACACACAACTAGCTGTTCCCCACTGCTGGCACAGTGGAAGTTAGTTGCGTAGCGCACAAGGTAGAGAACAGTTTGAATGTGATTGTTTGTGACCCAGGCAGTTGAACACTATGTTTACTTTCTTACTTTTGATAAACACTCTCTTTGTACAAGGTAAGCAACGTTTTCGAAACTTACCTGCCTCAATTTTTCAGTTGGGAATTAAGCATATAAAGTGTTCCTTAGTGTACATTTATAGATAAGTTCATACTTCAAAACTAAACCCCCTGAGTTCAAGCTGATTTGTTTGTAGATGATCTGTGGTAAGAAACAGTTTGTTCTCTGCAAATCAACATTGGTTGGTTGAATTCCAAATATTAGATGATGCGCTTGTAAAAGTAGCTATCTTGCATGGCACCTCATTACAGCCAGAAAACCTTCCGCTTACTTCTTAAGTTGTACGAAATACATATATATATACACAATCTTTAGCTAATCTGTTTTAAACTACTCGAAAAGAAAGATTGGTTTTTATAGTGAACAAAATTCAGACGGTGCGTGAATCTTGAAATGATGTGATTTTAGTAATCAACGTATAATAACAAACAGTCCATTCGAGATGAGTTAAAAAGGAATGGAATTATATAGTTGTGGTATTAATATTAAAGTTTTGTTTTTTGCTACAAATTACGATACTGAAAAACGTACTGCCAATATTAATAATAAGAAGAAATTGATAAAGGCAGAATAATTATTAAAATTATATGAAAAATTCAATAACACCATTTACACGACACAGTCAACTTTAACTTGATTAAAAAAATATATATTTTAAAGTCGTTTTATCTAATGTATTTTAAGTTAGTGAGAAATTATTGTAACCTATCATATGGCCGCTAAGTTAAAAGCTTATACGGAACTTCATCATTGTTTTTTTTTTCTTATATCTCGCACATCTTGCGCGTGTTTTCATATTTTTGACCCTATTACTTTCATAATTATTCCCAAAACTCCTCCCTTTAATAACAAATAATCATCGTAAGCGAAACTTGCCTTAATATTTTCAACTCAGTTTTGTAAACTTTTTCAGTCACAAATGAAAACCAAATCAGTGACATATTTCGAAGTTTCTGTCTGTAGTCCAGAAGTGATGTTGAGTAGCAGGTGATACTAAATCTCAAATCACCGTTCACTGAAGCCCCATCGTAAAATTTGTGTTTATTTTAATTTTGGGTAACTGGATCCTCCTCTTTATTAAAAACATGTGGATAATTCAGATAATTATAGAATTTGTCAATAGGTAAACAGAAACTAGAGTAACTTTTTTGTTTACAAAAGTATTGACTAAAGTTTGAAGAACGCTTCGAAGTTAGATTGTCGTAGATCTTCAGAAAATGTAGTATAAAAGATTGTAGTTAATAGTATATAATATTATAGTTGATAGTGTAAAATATTATAGTTGATAGTATAAGATATTATAGTTAATAGTACAAAATATTATAGGTAATAATACAAAATATTATAGGTAATAGTACAAAATATTATAGATAATAGTACAAAATATCATAGTTAACAGTATATAATATTATAGTCAATAGTGTAAAATATTATAGTTAATAGTATAAAATATTATAGTCAATAGTGTAAAATATTATTGTTAATAGTTTAAAATATTATAGTTAATAGTATAAAATATTATAGTTAATAGTATAAAGTATTATAGTTAATAGTATAAAATATTATAGTCAATAGTATATAATATTAGTATGGAACATTTGCAATTACAGTATGAATTACCAGTGTTAATAGAAAGGAATATTAAGGTTAACGGTGTTTTATATAAGAGATAATGGAATAAATATGTCTTGACTTGTAAAAATAGCAGAGTTGGTGTTATGAAATATCAGAGCTAACAGTATGGAATACATACCTTAAAATATAGAACATCGGAGTTAAAGGTGCGAAATATAATAGTAAATACATGGAATGTCAGACCTAAAAGTGTATGTGTGTGGAATATCAAAGTTAACAGTAAGAATATCAAACTTGTAAAGACGAAATATCATTGTTAACGGGAAAGTGTATCGGTGAAACTTTAGATCGATACAGATGTTTCATGAGATTCGAATGTTAGTTTAGACCGATACAGATCTAACATTAGGATCTGCAATGATTTACGATAGTGAAAGCTAATGGAACAGATTATTGTAGTAGAAGTATCATAATATTATGAAATATAGAAGCTATAGGTGTGAAATATTAAAACTAAAAGTGTAGAATATCAGAGTAACAGTACCGAATTTCAGTCCTTACGAATTGTAATATCAGAACTAACGGTAGGGATAGAGAGTTAATAATATCAAATATCTGCGCTAACAACGCGGAATGTTGATGGTAACAGTGTGAAATACCAAACCTAATATGGAATATCACAGATAATGATATCAAATATTAGCTTTAGCGGTAGAGAATGATTTCGTATTTCGCGTTGTATTCCGCTTTTTTTATATATAATATTTCGAAACTTAGTATGCATACATACTAATCTAGATGTCTGTAAATAATATAATCTTTTAGGTCCGTTATGCAAAGAAATTTTGACTGTGACTTGTTTGTTTGCTTTAGGGCAAAGCTACACAATAAGCTATCTGCACAATGTCTACAACGGGAATCTTGACTGTGGTACAAGAGTTATTAGTCGTTTGAGATTTTCATTGTGGCACAATAAAATTAAATAAAACGTTCAAGAGTTGTTATTTGTTTTTCAAGTAGACTCGTGTTGGTTTAGATTTAAACTCAAGGACGAATAGGATAAGCAGTCTCGACATGTTCAGTTATATCAGACAAGAAAATAGACCATCGATTTTTCACGTTTGGTAAATTATTCCGAGCTAATATTTACTTGTAAAGTTGTGCTTCAGAACTAAACTGCGAACATAACAATACACTAATAAAAGAACTGAATAATTAACATCAAAGAACCATGTGATCCATCGCTACAATACAATTCGATAACACGCTAATTTCTTCATTTTCTCTCATGATGTGGTGCATGGTAGTACATTTTTAATAAATAAAGATACATACTACTCTGATTATCCTGTACAATAAAACATACTTATATATATATATATATATATATTGCAATTAAAATGATATAAATTTTTGAATGATATTAAAAATTGAATCTAAAAACGTAAACTTTATATTCCAGTGTATCGATTTTGACCATTAACAACTTGCCTCTAAGTTAGATTAGGCTCGACAGTTTTATGTGATCTATTTTTTTAGAATGTGTTATTCTAAATGTTACTTTAGACCTACACAGATGTTTCATAAGATCCTAATGTTAGTTTAGACCTATTATGAAACATCTGTAGAGGTCTAAAACTAACATTCGGATCTTATGAAACATCTGTAGAGGTCTAAACTAACATTCGGATCTTATGAAACATCTGTATATCCGAATGTTATTTTAGACAGATACAGATGTTTCATAAGATCCGAATGTTAGTTTAGACAGATACAGATGTATCATAAGATCCAAATGTTAGTTTAAACTTCTACAGATGTTTCATAAGATCCGAATGTCAGTTTAGACCGATATAGATGTTTTATAAGATCCGAATATTAGTTTAAACCTCTACAGTAATGTTCATTGTTCTTCTTTATTTACTTAATGCTTAAATTCCATTTTGATTATAATCGGTGAAGTCACTTTAAAACAATTTTAAGTTTTTGATAAGCGATATTTTTTCATTCCTGAATTATTTAATTTTCAATGTTTCATTATAAAATTACCGAGATCAAGAAACAGGATGGAAGAAGTATGCACCATCTGAAGGACGATGTGACAAAGTGCTAATAAAGTTAATCTAGTAAGAACCGTCTATTCGTTTTGAAGAACAGGTTTTATGCTGTAACATAATGTTATTTAACAGGAGAGAAAACAATGGATGTGATTTATTCTGATTAATTTGCACCCAGCTAATTACTCTCACCACTGGGGAGTCTCCCCTTCGAGATTAAAGTAATTTGGTATTTAGCAACTAAATCCCATTAAGAATCCAACCGGATGTTAGTGGTAAGATATAACACTGTTCATACTAGCTAATTGATGTAATTTACAAAGAAAAAGAGAGAGCGAAATATGCACTTCGTTATTTAAGTCTTCTGTGGATTGGTAGCAAAGAAAATGTTAGTTTTAAATATTAATTTATGCGAATTAATCTTCTATGACAAATCATTAGTTTATTAAGTTGTAATTAAGATGAGTATAATTTTCAATTAAGCTCATCGGTCTACTTGTTAAGGTTCTGTAGATTCAAATGTAATGAGCTTAGAGTTAAAGTTGAAAAAGGAAAGCAAATCTTAATTAAAATTGCAACCTGATGGATAATACGGTGAATACAGTTCATATTGTGGTTGCTTGGAAGATAATACGTTATACATGTGTAATATAATTGAAAGATAGAAAAGTTTCAGGTTTAACTTTAGTATCACTTACTTATCTGTGCAATCATGAAAATAAGATTCAGAGATTACATGAATTAACATAAGCCTTCTCATGCTATGTGAAGCTAGACCAATATAGAAAATTAAAAAAAATACATGAAGAGGTAGAGATTACATGAATTAACATAGGCCTTCTCATGCTCTGTTAAGCTAGACGAATATATATAAAATAAAAAAGAAACGCATAATTATGTAATCATTATGAAGAAACGTATAAAACATTTTAACGTTTTCTTTGCGTGTCGGTAGCTAATTCGGTCATGTTATTTTGTGAATCTATATGTCAAGTTAATGAACATAGCTTCCATATACTATGCATTTACTACCCTATTCTTTAATATAATTTGTATTAAGATAAACATTGGTGGTCTGTCTTTACACTAGCTCATGTCAGCATAGCAAAAATCAATGTTTTTCTTTTTTTTTACTCATTTGCCATGTTCTTATTCTGACCTTTGAGAGCAGGGTAAGGTAAAGCGTTTAACAAATTTTATGTACTGACTCGGATTAAGATTCAGAATGTTTTTTTAAATTATGTATTATGGAATAGACTGTTCGTATCTTAAGATTTAATTTACAACGTTCCTGTTTACATAATTAAACACATATATAAAATTGTAGTTATCCAAAACAGAAGTATATTCTAAACAATAAGTTAG